TGGATATCTCCGGGAAGGAACCCTTTGGCCATGGTGCATCGACGCCTTTGATTATTGTGGCACCTCCGCATTCTGCGTGTCGCCCATCGATCATCTTCGGCTTCACATTGAAGGTCTTGAGCCATAAGCCGAAGTATGGGGTGATGCGGAGGAAGGCCTCACATACGACAATAAACGACGAGATGTGAAGAATGGAATCCGAAGCTAGATCGTGGAAGTCGAGCCCATAATAGAACATGAGCCCTCTGATGAAGGGATCAAGACTAAAGCCTAGCCCTAGAAGGAAGTGGGAAACAAATACGACACTCTTGTTGGGTTAGGGAGTGGGGATGACCTGCCCTCGGGCAGGCAGCCTGTGCGAGATTTCGGCGGTCAGATACCTAGCCTCCCTTAGCTTCTTGATGTCCTCCTCTGTGACAGAGGAAGCCATCCACTGTTCCTAAAGGTTGGATCCGGACATGACTGAAGGTCCGAAGCGCTTCGCCTGAGCCTTGGGTGTTGGAACTCGGGGTGGGGGAAGGGGGGATTGAGTGCGAGAAGAAAAGGATAGACTTTGGCCCCTTTATAAAGAGGGCGAATATCAAGCGTCCTCGGCGTGGCCGTTTGGAACTTGCCTAAAATCAAGGAGTCGTACTAACGGGTACGATTGGGTTACCCACACCCGTATTGATGAGAATCCCGTGATAAGGGGACACGATCTCTTCTTCGACAAGATGTGCCAATAAAACCGCCTCGCAACACGTGCAGTGGCTGGTTGAGAAAAACGGTTCGAATAATGACCGGGGCCATGGCGTGATGTCACATTATGAAAAGTTGTCAGATTAGATTTGTGGAAATATTATACTCTCTACGGTGGTGTGTAGAATTTGTTTTGCAGAGCCGGACACTATCCTTGTGTTCAAAATTTTCTATGGAGTATCCGGAGGAGGAACCCGCCTTGCAATGCGAATACAATCTGCGCCCCAGACTCATCATCATTAAAGCCTGGTTCAGGGGCTACTGAGGAAGTCCTGGATTAGGGAGTCCTCGGACAGCCGGACTATATCCCTTGGCCGGATTGTTGGACTATGAAGATACAAGATTGAAGACTTCGTCCCGTGTTCGGGTGGGACTCTCCTTTGCGTGGAAGGCAAGCTTGGCAATTCGGATATGTAGATCTCTTCCCTTGTAACCGACTCTGTGTAACCCTAGCCCCCTCCGGTGTCTATATAAACCGGAGGATTTTAGTCTGTAGGACAACAACAATCATACCATAGGCTAGCTTCTAGGGTTTAGCCTCTCCGATCTCGTGGTAGATCAACTCTTGTAATACTCATATCATCAAGATCAATCAAGCAAGAAGTAGGGTATTACCTCCATCGAGAGGGCCCGAACCTGGGTAAACATTGTGTCCCCCGCCTTCTGTTACCATCCGCCTTAGACGCACAGTTCGGGACCCCCTACCCGAGATCCGCCGGTTTTGACACCGACATTGAGTGCCAAAACACATATCAAGTGAATCAATATGATACCCCGTTGTCACCATGAGTATTCATAGCAAGACATACATCAAGTGTTCTCAAATCCATAAAAGTATTCAATCCGATAAAACGAAATCTCAAAGGGAAAACTCAATTCACAACAAGATAGAGAGGGGGAAACACCATATGATCTGACTATATTAACAAAGCCCGTGATACATCAAGATCGTGACATCTCAAGAACACGAGAGAAAGAGATTAAACACATAGCTACTGGTACAAACCCTCAGCCCTAAGGGTGGACTACTCCCTCCTCATCATGGTGGCCGCCGGGATGATGAAGATGGCCATCAGTGATGATTTCCTCCTCCGGCAGAGTGCCATACGGGGTCTAGATTTGTTTTCGGTGGATATAGAGCCTTGCGGCGGCGGAACTTTTGATCTAGTTTAACCCCGAGGATTTTTGGAATATTTGGGAATTTATAAGGCAAAAAGACGGTCCAGTGGGCACCTGGGTGGCCCAGGCGCGCCCTGGTGAGTTGTGCTACCCTCGGAGCAGCCCCCAGGCACTTCTTCGGCCCACTGCCTTCTGGTCCATAAAAAATCCACAAAAAGTTTCGCTGCGTTTGGACTCCGTTTGGTATTGATTTCCTGCGATGTAAGAAACATGCAAAAAATAGCAACTGGCACTTGGCACGATGTCAATAGGTTAGTACCAAAAAAGATATAAAATGACTATAAAATGATTATAAAACATTCAAGAATGATAATATAACAGCATGGAACAATAAAAATTATAGATACGTTGGAGACGTATCAATAACCGAGGCACGCAGAGACAATGATGTATCCCAAAGTTCAGACCCTTGTGGATGCTAATCTCCGTTTGGAGCGGTGTGAAGGCACAATGCTCCCTAAAATGCCACTAGGGCCACCGTGATCTCCTCACGCCTTTGCACAATGCAAGGTGCCATAATTCCACTAAGGGACCCTTGAGGGCGGTCACCGAACCCGTACAAATGACAACCCTTGGGGGCGGTCACCAACCCTTATAGTTTGCTCGGGGCAATCTCCACAGCGAAATTGGAGACCCGGACGCTTGTCCGGAGCTTTATGCCACAATAATTGAGCTTTGCGACACCACCAGCCGTCTAGGGAGCCAAAGCAACTGAGAGGCACAAGCTCTAGGGTGTCCAAACACCCAAGAGTAATAAGCTTCTCAACTTTCACTTCCACGTATCATCGTGGAGAACTCAAACCGATGCACCAAATGCAATGGCAAGGGCACACGGAGTGCTCAAGTGCTCTCCCAAATCACACCACAACAATAAATGTCATGGAGGAATATGAGAGGAAGAACAAAAGAGGAGAACAACAAAGAACTCCAAAATCTAGATCCACAAGGTTCCCCTCACTTACAGGAGAAAAGTATTGGTGTAAATATATATCTAGGTATCCTCTCTCTCTTTTCCCTAAAAAAGAATCAAGAATCATAGGAGGAATTGAGAGTTAGCAAACTCCAAGAGGTCAACAATGGTGGGGGGAAACTTGCAAAAGGATTAGGGTTGAAGTTGGAAGAAGGGGGTATAAATACCCGGGGTCGGCCGAGAGGAGGCAGGGGGTCGGGCACCCGGGGGTGGCAGAGAAGTGCATGAATTGATAAACTCGAAACGTTCATAACTTTTGCAGAATTTCGATTCCAACAAAATCAAGTTTGCTGGAAAGCTAACGACGGGGGCTAACACAAGCCTGATAGAAATTTTAAGAACTAGCAATGGAGAAAATAACCAGAATATAACGGTGAGAAGCCTTCCTCAAATAAGACCGGTAAAATCTCGAACACCAAAAGCGCAATAAAAGATGCATAGAAAATCGTTTTTCCATGAACTAGAGCTTGTAACGACACAAGCTCTAAAACTTCACAAAGAGAAAAGCCAAACAATAACCAAGAAAGATGATGCCAAGCATGCAAATGTTTGAGCTCTCTACGAACGATACGAACAAGCTACTCACTCGAGAGCCCCCCTTGATAGTACGACTATCAATCCTATAATTGGGTCTACCAACTAACACCATGGGACCGGTAAAATAGAAAACCCATCATGAACAAATATTTTCTTTGCGCATAATCCACTTGAGCTAGATGATAACGATCTTGACCTTCTCAAATTAAACCACCTTTCTTGATTCCGCCGACTCGATGTATACTAGTAAATTGCTCCCCCATACTCCACTATGGGTGAGCCTCTCTTAGGCACATCTTCACAAGTCCATCATCGCCAGAATGGACGGCAAACTTCAAACATGTGATCACTTCGTGATACTCCACTTGAACTTGCACAACTCAACCTTGATGACAATCACCACTTGATGTCATCCTCCTCCATGTGTTATATAAGATCTTCCTCTTGATACAAGCCCATGAAAAAATAACTAACCCCACATAGAACCACCACACAAACAGATCATGGGTTAGTTTACAAAGTGTAATGACCAATGTTTACCATATTGTGAGATCATTTGATCCCACTCGGTACATTTCCAGCGCTTTGTGTATTGATCAACTTGAATCCACTCTTTTACTTTGACTTGATCAACCATGTATCCAATCTTCTCTCTTTGTAAAGATGATGTCTTGAAGGTAAACATGAATGTTCACACAATCTTCTACTTCAAGACATACTTGTAACAGGCTCAACACTAATATGACCGATGTTTGGATTACACCTCGAATAGAACCTTAGTCAACACAAAAATCTCCTTCTAATAACCTTGAAACCAACAAATGGTCTTCAATTAATGCCCATGGACGAGCCCTTCAAATCTATAACTCAAGTTAACCATTAGTCCATAGGGATTGTCATTAATTACCAAAACCAAACATAGGGAAACCAAGCTCCTTCACATAAAGTCAACAACATCACCACAAAGATAAGCCAGAATAGGCGACAGCTTGGGTAGCTCTGGTCTGGAGGAACTCCGCGAGGTCGAGGGCCTCACAGTCAAGCCCTAGTGCCGCCGTACATGAGAATAAGATATAAGTCCTAGTCTCCGGTACCGCGCACATGGGGCACATGCCATCACCCGGGCCATGCCGCTTAAGCATTTCGGTCCTCGAAGGGATGCAATCTCATAGTAGTTGCCACGCAAAATTCCAATTGACAGCCACATTATATAGGAATCTTGGTAAGCCATCCCTCTGTTCCAAACAGCTGTGTTGATTTTATTTTTTTAATAGGAATTCGATCCTGCAAAATTCCTGCGATTTTCCCTTGTTCTAAACGGGGCCTAAGTTCCAAGGAAGGACTAGAGATGCTATGCGGTGATGCCAAATCCCAAGTCACCAAGGTGCTCTTAGGTAGTCTCAAATCGCAAGTCACAAAAGTTCTTCCCTTGTTCAGTCCAAGCATAACGAGGCCTTGTTTCATCACGTGAACAAACATTCCATTGCACACATGGTACGTAAAGTGCTACCGAATTGGAGCAATAAATCCGAAGGCTGCACTGCACAGCTCCATTAATCCCATTGCTCCTAATCCAATGTCGTCCCGGCCAGCCGTCGACCCCGAGTCGTCCCCGGCGGCGCAGCAGGCTCCACTGCTCGGCAATGCAGACGGCCGGACACAAACAACAACCGTCCTAGGCAAGGCTCTGAGCAGCACCGCGGACCTCGCGAAGCACCTCCCCACCGGCGCCGTGCTGGCCTTCGAATTCCTCTCGCCGACCTTCAGCGCCGACGGCACCTGCACGGCCGCCAACCGCGCGCTCACCGGCTGCCTCATCGGCGCCTGTGCCCTCTCGTGCTTCCTCCTCTGCTTCACCGACAGCTACCGCGACGAGACGGGCACCGTGCGCTACGGCTTCGTCACGCCCAGCGGCCGCCTGAGACTCATCGACGGCGCCCAGCAGATGCCACCGCGGGACGAGAGATACCGGCTTCGCGCGAGGGACGTGCTGCACGGGGTGCTGTCGTTCGTGGTGTTCCTGGCCGTGGCCATGGTGGACAGCAACGTCGTGGCGTGCTTCTACCCCGTGGAGTCCGCCACGACGAGGCAGCTGCTCGCCGCAGTGCCCATGTCTGCCGGAGCGGCGGGGAGCTTCCTGTTCGCTATGTTCCCGTCCACGCGCCGGGGAATTGGCTTCCCCGTCGCAGGCACGTCATGAATCAATATTGTTTTATTTCGGAAACAATTCGCACACCACCATAGCCACCGAGAAATTTCCGCTTCAATTGGTGTTAGTTTCTCTACATTTTCCTCTAAAATTTGTGCTTTGACCTACAACATATTACCAGGAAGTGAGAGCTATACTTTGTCTTACCTCTTCCGGTCTTAATTCCATTTGATGGAAAAATGATGTGCTAACTGGATACAAGAACAAGCAAGGAGGGGAACGTGGAACCAAAGGTGGGAGAGAATGTCACTAAACCCGAAAACAAGTGGAGAAAATAAACGAAATTCCGAATATGTGCCTAGCGTGTGATACATAGCGATGGGTAGACGCATCACTTGGCAAGCTCCGAGACTCAATAAAAATGACCTCTACGGACAGGCTTGGGATTACTCGTTCCCGCGTAGCACCTGCACCTGCACTACCAGGTCTTACGGCAGGTTGTACGTTTTACATTCCAAAAAATCGTAGCAGGTTGTATGTTCTTGTTAACACTGGGCCTAGTGTCACTACCGACGAGACCGATGTACGCTTCATCACCAAGGAGGGCCGGCCCAGCAAGAGAGCCCATCATCCTTCCACTCGCTACGCGGACGGCAACTGGGTATAGTCCTATATTAGTCTATCCTGTCATCGTGTTGGGTGGCGAATTGGTAATGGCTGAGGCCATTGGCTTATAAATCAATCCTTCCTCTGTAAGCAAATACATCACAGACTTGAGAGTGAATACGAGATGCCGCCATAGTTTTCCCCTTCCTTCTCCAATCCCTATCTAGATCCTAACAATTGGTACTCAGATCCCAAAATTCCCACCCACTTCACGCTGGATCACAGCCACGAGACGCGGTTGGCGGTGGCGGCGGCGCGCCGACGGCAGGAGCTCATGGAGCACCTGAGCGCCGAGGGCAAGGCGGTCTATGAGACCATAACCCAGGCAAGCGAGGCGGCCCATCTACGTCACCAGAAGGAGCTCGACGCGCTCATCGTGGCGGCGGTGGGGAGCACCGTCGATGCTGCGGTGTCGCGTTCCGTCGGGGCGGCGGTCGACAAGGCGGTGGAGGCGGCGATGGGGACGGTCGTCAACGATATGCAGGCGGAAGCCGACCTCCTCAAGCAAATTCAGGACCTCCGCACTGCCAAGAGCACCACCTTCCGCTCCAGCGATTTGGAGGGATCCGAGCGTTCGCCGACGGCCACGGCAGAGGCGAATCAGGCAGGATTCAAGGCGTCACTGTCGACCAGAGGACCAGGTTCGAGTACGCAAGCACTGTATGTTCCGCCGGCCGCTAGAGGTATACCTGAATTACCGCGGCCGAGTTCATCATTTTCCAGTCTATTGCACCGCGAGCGGAGGAACAGTTCGTCAGGCCATGGGAAACCTCCTTCTGTTGATTTCCCAAAATTTGATGGAGAGAATCCAAAGCTTTGGCAAACGCGGTGTGTGGACTATTTTGCCATGTTTGACACTGACCCGAATCTCTGGATTGCTGTTGCCGCTATGCAATTCGAAGGAGCAGCAACGCGCTGGTTATTGTCAGTTCAACACAAATTTGTTCGATCGTCATGGGAGGATTTTTGTACTGCAGTTCTGAATCGTTTTGGCCGCAACCAACATCAGTCCCTAGTGCGCAAACTATACCGGTTGAAACAGACAGGGACAGTGGAAGAGTACATCAACCAATTTTCTGAACTTATGGACCAGTTGACAGCGTATGAGCCTGAGCCTGATATGCTGCATTACACCACCGGTTTCATTGATGGTCTGAAAGTCAATGTGAGAATGGTTGTAGCAGTACAGCGCCCAGCGGATTTGGACACAGCTTATTCCATTGCTGCTGTTCAGGAGGAAATGGGGGGCCATGAAGCTGAAACTGTATCCAAGAAGTATACTGCACCTATGTTTCCTCATTCAGACAGGATGGTGCCATCGAAGCATGTCGAAGAGCACAAAACATCAGACAAGTCTAAGACCACCGGTTCAGAGGACAAGTTGGCAACACTCAAAGCATACCGCAGAGCAAAAGGACTTTGTTTCATCTGTGGTGAGCGTTGGGGGCGCGACCATAAGTGCAACACTACAGTTCAGCTACACGTGGTGCAAGAAATGTTGGAATTTTGTGCCTTGGATAACATGGATTCGGATGATAGTGATATGGATTTAATGGTACTGTCAGCTGAAGCACAACAAGTTCAAGGGGGAACTAATGCAATCAGATTAGAGTGCCAATTGGGTGGTCATGCAGTGGTGCTTCTGGTGGATTCAGGTAGTTCTCATTCTTTCATCAGTGCTCGGTTGGCTGCTCACATTGCAGGCCAGCAATTACTGCCTGCACAACAAACTGTCAGGATTGCTGCTGGAGGTACACTTCCTTGTACTCACATCATTCCTGCTTGTGCTTGGTCTGCTGCTAGTCATGAGTTCAAGTGTGACTTTAAGGTGTTACCTCTGCAACATCATGATGGAATTGTGGGAATGGATTGCCTGTCCTCCTTGGGTACTATGCAAGTTAATTGGTTAGAGAAGTGGCTAGCCTTTGATCATCATGGCCGTTCGGTGTTCTTACAAGGCTGTCCTCCAAAAACTTTTAGTTGCACTGTGGTGGAGCTCCATTTAGTTCAGCCAGAGAACGTTAAAGAGGATCTCGTAGCCCTTCCAGCACAATTCTAGGAACTATTAGATCAGTACACTACAGTATTCGAACCACCAACTGGACTTCCCCCTCGGCGCAGTTGTGATCATAGAATACCATTGATGGAAGGGGCTAGACCTGTGAACATTCGACCCTACTGGTATTCACCGGAGCTAAAGAGTGAAATTGAAAAATAAGTCCAGGAGATGTTGCAAACTGGGGTCATTGTTCCTAGCTCCAGTCCGTTTGCCTCACCTATTATTATGGTCAAGAAAAAAGACGGCTCGTGGCGGTTGTGTGTGGATTATCGTCATCTTAATTTGTTAACACTCAAGTCCAAATACCCGCTCCCAGTGATCGATGAGCTTTTGGATGAGCTCACTGGGGCGTCCTGGTTTTCGAAGCTGGACCTTCGTGCCGGATATCATCAGATCAGGCTTGCGCCGGGTGAGGAGTATAAGACAGCTTTTCACACACACAACGGTCATTATGAATTCACAGTCTTGGCATTTGGACTGACTAGAGGGCCATGTACATTCCAATCTGTTATGAATGATGATTTAGCTCCAGTGCTTCGTGAACCAAATAAATGTGTTGTGGTGTTCTTCGATGATATCCTGGTATTTAGTATTACATTGGAGGACCACTTGCATCATTTGAAGCAAGTGCTGGACCTGTTGCAGGAGCACCAATGGAAAATCAAAGGGTCTAAATGTGCGTTTGCACAATGCAGCATTTCTTATCTGGGCTATGTGGTATCTGAGGAAGGCATAGCTACTGAGCCTGCTAAGATTGAGGTGGTAGTCAACTGGCCTGTACCTGCTAATTTGAAGGAACTTCGTGGTTTTTTGGGGCTATCTGGCTACTACCGGAAGTTTGTTCGCCACTATGGTATGATCAGCCAGCGCTTGACTCATCTCCTGCGTAAAAATATTCCATTTGTGTGGTCTTCTGAAGCCCAGTCTGCATTTGATCAACTGAAGCGAGCCCTCACAACAGCACCTGTATTGCCACTCCCTAATTTTCAGAAACAGTTCGTAATTGAGACTGACGCTTGTGATACCGGAGTGGGTGCAGTACTACTTCAGGATGGCCACCCTCTTGCATTTGTGAGCAAAGGATTGGGACTCAGAACCAAGGGTCTGTCTACATATGAAAAAGAGTATATGGCCGTGCTTCTTGCAGTGGAACGATGGAGAACTTATTTACAACATGCTGAATTCCTAATACTTACTGACCATATCAGCTTGTCACACCTGGAAGACCAGAGGTTACACACTAGTTGGCAGCAGAAAATGTTCACAAAATTGCTTGGACTCCAGTTCAAGATCAGGTACAAAAAAGGCATTGACAATCGTGCCGCGGATGCATTATCTCGCAGACCACACTTAGGGGAGGACCTTCTTGCTATATCTTCACACCAGCTAGCTTGGATACAGGAAATGTTGGATGTGTATCAGGATAGTGCTGAAGCAAGTGAACTTTTGGTCAAATTGGCAGTGCAGCGGTCTGAAAATGATCCATGTTCTCTTCGAGATGGTCTGATCCGTTACAAAGGTCGATTATGGCTTCCTCCTGATGTGGATCTGATTCCTAAATTACTTGATGCATTTCATACAAGTCCGATTGGGGGCCACTCAGGTATCCCTGTCACCTTGCATAGATTGAAGCAGTTGTTCTACTGGAAGCACATGAAAGCTCGAGTGAAGCAATATGTTCAGGAGTGCTTGATTTTTCAGCGTGCGAAACCGGATCGTAACAAGTACCCAGGCCTCCTCGGACCCTTACCGGTGCCTCGTAAGTTTTGGCAGACGCTCACGATGGATTTTGTTGAAGGTTTGCCCCATTCTGGCCGTTTCAACTGTGTCCTCGTCGTTGTTGACAAACTGTCGAGATATAGTCATTTTATTGGTCTCCAACATCCCTTTACTGTGTCCACAGTGACGGCAGCCTTCATGGACAATATACACAAACTGCATGGGATGCCCGAGTCCATTGTCACTGACCGTGATTGGATTTTTACTAGCAGGTTTTGGAAAGAAATGGCAGCACTCACTGGTACAAAATTGCGTATGAGTTCTTCCCATCATCCCCAAACCGATGGTCAATTTGAGCGAGTTAACCAATGTTTGGAGGCTTATCTGCGATGTTTTACTCATGCTTGCCCACTGAAGTGGGCTCAATGGTTGTCACTTGCTGAGTACTGGTACAACACGAGTCCTCACTCTGCCTTGCAAGGGAAGTCGCCATTCGAGGTCCTATACGGCTAGTCTCCTAGAACTTTTGGGTTATCTGCAGATGACACTTGTTCCATTCCTGACCTGGAGACCTGGCTTCGCGATCGTGATCTTATGATGAGATTACTTCAGCAACACTTGGAGCGCGTTAGAACTCGTATGAAACACCAGGCAGATAAGAAATGTTCTGACAGAGTATTTGCTGTGGGTGATTCTGTTTTCCTCAAGTTGCAGCCATACATTCAGTCCTCTGTGGCCCCACGTGCTCATCACAAATTGTTGTTCAAATACTATGGCCCTTATCAAGTGCTGGAACGAGTAGGTGCATCAGCCTATCGTCTTGCGCTTCCACCGGCAAGCAAGATCCACCCAGTTCTACACGTCTCAACTGAAGTTGGCACTGGGACCTAATTGTCAGGTACAATCTGAATTGCCTCCTCCTGATGCTCAGTTTGCTCTGCCTATGAGAGTTCTGCATCGCCGGTTGCGCCGCCGGGGTGATGCTGCTGTGCCACAAGGCTTGATACAATGGTCTGATCAACCGGATTCTTTGGCGACATGGGAAGATTTAGAAGAACTCAAGCAGCGTTTTCCGCGGGCGCCAGCTTGGGGACAAGCTGGACTTCAAGGAAAGGGGAGTGTTAACACTGGGCCTAGTGCCACTACCGACGAGACCGGTGTACGCTTCATCACCAAGGAGGGCCGGCCCAGCAAGAGAGCCCATCATCCTTCCACTCGCTACGCAGACGGCAACTGGGTGTAGTCCTATACTAGTCTATCCTGTCATTGTGTTGGGTGGCGAATTGGTAATGGCTGAGGCCATTGGCTTGTAAATCAATCCTTCCTCTGTAAGTAAATACATCACAGACTTGAGAATGAATACGAGATGCCGCCATATTTTTCCCCTTCCTTCTCCAATCCCTATCTAGATCCTAACAGTTCTTCAGGATTTTTTTACCAGGCTGTACTAAAAAAACATAGCAAGCGGATCGCTGGGAAGTAGTTAAGTTTGTCCTACTCCGTATGACACAAATTAAAAATATTTAGAAACGTTCACAAAGCTGAACATTTTCACAGATTTTCAAAATGTTCTTGAGCTTAAAAATGTTCATGAACTTGAAAATTTGTTCATGAATTCAAAAAATAGTTGTGAATTTTAAAAACAAATCACAGACAGGAAAAAAGTTCATGAATTTGAAACAAAACTGTGAATTAGGAAAATGTTTGCAATCTTGAAAAAATGTTCGTGAATTAAAAAATGTCAAGAATTTGAAAAATATTCATGATTTAAAAAAAATAATCGTGATCTCATCTTGATTTGCAAATTTGAAAAAATCTAGAAGTTGGAAAAACATACATGAATTTTTAAAAATATTCACAATTACAAACACAATCCATGAATTTGAAACGTGTTCATGATTTGATGTTCAAGATTAAAGATGTTCACGAAGTTTAAACTGTTTGTGAATTTTAAAATCTTAATAAATTTAAAAAAATGTTCACAGCTTTGAATAAATGCTCGCAAATTAAAAAATGCTCACAAATTACCAGGTTTTAGGGCACCTGCACTACCAGGTTTTATGGCAGGTTGAACGTTTTACATTCCAAAAAATCGTAGCAGGTTGTATGTTCTTCAGAAAATATTTACCGGGCGTACTATAAAAACATAGCCTGGGGATCGCTTGGAACATGTTTTTTTGCAGATTTGAAAAAATATATGAATTTGAAAAAATGTTCACAAGTTGGAAAAATGTACATGCATTTTAAAAAACGTTCACAATTACAAAAAAGATCCATGAATTTGAAACATGTTCATGATTTGATGTTCAAGATTAAAGATGTCCACAATTTTTTAATGCTGATGAATTTTAATAATATTTCGCAATTTTAAAAAAATGTTCACAAATTTGACTAATGCTCACAATTAAAAAATGTTCACAATTTTTTTAAAAAATTGTGAGTACAAAAATGTTCATGAATTTTAAAATTGTTCATGAATCTTAAAAACATTCACGAGTTTGAAAAAAATTCACAAACACAATTTTGATTTTTTAAAAAGGTCTGCAAATTTTAAAGTTGTTTACAATTCAAAAAGTACTCATGAATTTGAAAAGATGTTCAAATATTTAAAAAATAAAAATAAAAAAAGAAGGAAAAGAAAGAAAAGAAAGAAAGAAATAAAAAATAGAAAACCCATAGAAAAAAAAAGAGGAAAGAAAGAAAGAAACTTGTGGAACTTCCCCAAAACTATGAGATGGTTCAAAAAGCTTCACAAAACCGGAGTGGTCGGCTGAAACCTTCTGACGACCATTCGTTACGTCGCTAATGCATCGGCCAGGAGTAGCGACGTAGTTTGGCCGCTATTTTATCACTTCCAAAGAGCGGTGCATAGGATTTGCACTCGTTGCACGTTCTTCTGTATTTCTAGCTGCCCTCTCATGGTCACAATTGGACAGGGCCCATAGATCTCCCTCCTTGAAATTTGGCTTGACTCATAGAGCCATTGGCTCATCTAGTGCAATTTAATAGGTTGTGCGTGTGTGCACTACCTAATGATTGCCTGGTGGACCACATTAGCAATCGTCTAACCATATTGCAAAAGATTTCATTTCCACCATGATCGACACACTTGAGCACCATGATCAAGTCTTGTGTTTTATTACTCTTTGGGTCATATGGTATGCTAGACGCAAGGCCATCCATGAGAATGTTACCAATGGTCGCTCTTTGTTCACTCTTTTGCTTGGAGTTTTATAGGGGAACTGGATTGTGACAAGATAGACAAAAAGAAGAGTTTACTGACTAAAGCTCATGATGATGGGATTAACAAGATCGTTGTAACAGCCTCAAATTAGTAGTAGTAATTAGTAACTGATTGTGCATCATAATCATCTCATAAGCATCACTTGTTTAACCATGAAATTGAGGATAATACCAACCCTCATCTTTTTAAAGGGATAAAACCCTAAAGCTTACACCATGTAACCAAAATACCCTGCTCAACACTAAGGATTTGACAATGTGTCTATATGGACCTACACCAATTTCCCATGGGTTGGGATGCTTTAAATCTTCAAGAACCGTAATTAAAATTCAAAGTTTAATAAACACTAAACAATGAGTGATTTCTTGTGGTGAGTTACTTGTGTCATGTAAACTGATTTTCGTCGCCAAAATGGGCTCATGGCGGTTCCTCGCCGATTTGCATAAATGAAATAGTGATGGTAGCAATATTTAAGTCACGTAAGATTGTGTCTTCGGTGATGGTTCCTGTTTCGTCAATGGATTATATTTTCAGTGGCGACCAGGATTGTCACAGTTTTATCAGCCATTTTCACCAAATAGCATTTGTAGTGATGGAAAACCATCACTAATATTCAATGCGTCAGGTTTGGGAGGTCAACGATTCTAACATATGGGTCAATGTTGTGTTAATGTGTAACGCCCCAGGACCGATACTATACTCTTGGGAAACGTAGTAGAAAAAAATGTCGCCCTACGATCAACCAGGAAATCTATGAAGATGCATAACAGTTAAGATTGGATTTTTACCAACTCCGACTTGCAACAGAAGAAGAGTCGGTGTAGATTGTACTTGAAGTGCCTCAAATCGTTCATAAACGATCCCTCGAACGAAAGACCGAAAGCATAGCCTCTCCATAGTTTACAAGCGTACAGGCTTCACAATCCGGCAGCGCTTGACCGTACATAGCTAATCGTCGTTGGAGAATTAAAGGGAGAAGAAGAGAACCGCACAGGGCTTCTCTATTATGAGGATTAGAGAGAACTAGAACTAGATCCAGTCTAGATCAAACTAGACGAGAACTAGATCAAGAGAGAACTAGAGGAGGCTCCAAAACTTATATAGTAGGGGCTGCCCCTGCTAGTCTATTCATATGTTTGGTCCTCGGGTCGCAACTTGGGGAGGGAGCCTCCCCAAAGTCGGGTTGGATCGCAATGAAGAGTCCTCCTCGGATTCCAGCACGAAACGCCAAGGTTCCTAGCGTTCCTGAAAATGCCACGGACATCGGCGTTTGGCCTAGGACCAGACACCAGGGACCTTGGCTTCTGGCCCCTGTCTTCCACAAAATCCCTTTTGCACTAACTTCAACCCTCATGGCCTTACCCTTTGGCCAAGCCAAAAGTGTCCTCACACCAGAACATTTCTGAAAACATCTGAAACTCTTTAGGAACTCTCTTGAAACTATATCATGTATTCCTGAAACTATTTCGAGAATATGTTCTCATAACTCTTGCTCCACTAACACTCAATAGGTCGTGATTCCCTTAAGCTTGTGACCCTTTAGGTTCGGTAAAACATAGACATGAACAAAAAACCCTTTCGTTCAATGACCGATAGCGGAACCGTGGACGTCCATATCAATCCCTATGAGTACACGGATGAAAATCGAGCTGGAGAAACAGACACCCACTAGCCACCTGTGTGCGAAGCACGTCGGTAGAACCAGTCTCGCGTAAGCGCGTAATGTCGGTCTAGGCCGCTTCATCCAACAATGCCACTGAATCAAGAATCAACAAGTGACGGCAAGAAATATGTATATACCCACGCCCACAACTCCTTTGTGTTCTACTCGTGCATATAACATCTCCGCAGTAACCTGGCTTGGATGCCACTGTTGGGGAACGTAGTAATTTAAAAAAAATCCTACGCAAACGCAAGATCATGGTGATGCATAGCAACGAGAGGGGAGAGTATTATCCACGTACCCTCATAGACTGTAAGCAGAAGCGTTATGAGAACGCTGTTGATGTAGTCATACGTCTTCACGATCCGACCGATCCAAGTAACGAACGCACGACACCTCCGAGTTCAGCACACATTCAGCTCGATGACGTCCTACGGACTCCGATCTAGCAGAGCTTCGTGGGAGAGTTCCGTCAGCACGACGGCGTGATGACGGTGATGATGTTGCTACCGATGCAGGGCTTCGCCTAAGCACTACTATGACATGATCGAGGTGGATTATGGTGGAGGGGGGGGGCACCACACACGGCTTGGAACAATCAACTTGTGTGTCTTTGGGTGCCCCCCGCCCCCGTATATAAAGGATCAAGGGGGAGCCCGGCCGGCCTTGGTGCGCCCCAAGGAGAGGAGGAATGATTCATCCTTTCCTAGTCCTACTAGGAAGGGGGAAGGGGGAAGGAAAGAGAGGGAGATGGAGAGGGAAAGAGGGGCTGCGCCCCCTCCCCTAGTCCAATTCGGAATCCTCATGGGAGGGGGCGCGCCACCTCCTGGGCTGCTGCCCTCTCTCTCCCCTCAGGCCCACTAAGGCCTAGTACTTCCCTGGGGGGTCCGGTAACCCCTCCGGCACTCCGGTTTTCTCCGAAACCATCCGGAACACTTTCGGTGTCCGAATATAGCTGTCCAATATATCAATCTTTATGTCTCGACCATTTCGAGACTCCTCGTCATGTCCGTGATCACATCTGGGACTCCGAACTACCTTCGGTACATCAAAACACATAAAATCATAATATTGATCGTCACTGAACTTTAAGCGTGCGGACCCTACGGGTTCGAGAACTGTGTAGACATGACCGGGATTCATCTCCGGTCAATAACCAATAGCGGAACCTAGATGCTCATATTGGTTCCTACATATTCTATGAAGATCTTTATCGGTCAAACCGCATAACAACATACGTTGTTCCTTTTGTCATCGGTATGTTACTTGCCCGAGATTCGATCGTGTGTATCCTCATACCTAGTTCAATCTCGTTACCGACAAGTCTCTTTACTCA